GCGGCAAAAATTTTAAAAAAAAAAAATTAAAAAAAAAAAAAAAAAAAAAAGCTTATATAGTTAAAAGCTAAAATATTTTACGAACAAGTCAAATAGTGCACTATAGAGTGAGACAGAGATTCCCCATTGCCATCCTTCTACAGGGATACACATAGCTCACCTTCTCTTTCCACCAATGGATCATGACGTCAAAGGAGAATGTAATGAGGAACCTGATTCTGTAGGATGCTGTGCACTTCTCCACTCTGTACAAAGAAACCAGAGGGGTGCGCATCTCTCTGTTAGCACCCTGCAGATATGAAAACTATGACATGACCTTACACCCCCGTCAGTGCAGGCGGCATCTCCCTGGACACCAATATTGGGAAGAGATATGCTTTCTATCCACGGTTTACAACAGAAGCAAATGATGCAATACGAGAAGCTCTGACTCCTCTGGAATAACAGGCAAGAGACACCAACAACTGAAATACCAAGTGAACCGGATTTGTTTGTCAGCAATGCACAAGTATCAACCTCAGCTGCCTGAGATCTGAAGTCATTATTCCAGAAGTCTACTGGAATGCTGTCTCCACCAATGCAGCAGTGCTAAAATCATCCACAGCTGATCTGATAGAAAAACAAAAATAAAATGTGTTTTCAGCGCTCATTCGAGTCACCAGAGTCTGGAACGTGGTTCTATCAGTGGTGGAAATGACACCGATCAACTTCCTGACTTCTATTAGGAGCTCTGTTTCTTGTAACAAGGTCCGGGTTAGCCGCAGCCGTTCCCATTCAGTCCATGAGCTCATTTGACTCTTCCCTTACGTTATTACAGGTACACACAGTCCTTGTTTGCTGCACACTACTTTTCCACACTCCCACGGCGGAGACAGGGATACCAAAGGAGCCTGGATGTGCTATAGTCTCCTCTTGTTCCCTTACAGGTCCCCCTTCAGAATACTTAGTACTGCAGTTAACATCAAACAGCTGAGGTCCAGGCCATTCATGACATAAAATGAAGAAAGGTCATGACACAAAGGGGAATTGTGTCCCTGGAGAGCTCAATGTGTGGTTCTAAGCATGGGGGAGGTCTGGATCCAGAAAGAAGTATCTGAGACACATTTCCACAATCTTTCTCACTTCTATTCTGGTCTGGATCCCCCCCACAAAAAGAGAAGTCCCACTGTTACTGTTGGGCTGGAGGGACTGTGCTTCCTATGGATTCTGCAGGCTGGAGGGATGTTGCGGGATCTGGAATAGAGGAACACACAAGACATCTGGAATTGCTGCTTAATGTACAAACCTTCAAACTAAACAAAGAACTATAAAACAACACAGTTGGAAGATGTGCTGTCATAACCAAAGTCTGTTCTCCTGTAGCGTTATCATGACCCTGGGGCTGATTTATGAAACATTGAGGAAAAGTACACCTATTATGTGTGAAAAACAAATTCCTTATTTCAACATGAAACCAACATTGAGAAAAGCTTCACTTGTATTCTTTGCTGCAGTTTTCCAAATCAACCCCAATGCCAAAGATCAAATTAGTAGAAAAGGCTCATGTAGATTTTTTGTTTCAGAACAGAGAGAAAATTGCATTATACACAAAAAGATACACATTCTGAATCAACATTCGCTACCACAAGAATACTGAGTGTCATGAAACACAAGAAGCAAATGGGTTTGGCGGCGTAGAATGTGATTAAGCAATTCTACAAATTAACTTAAGCCAAAAACCAACCAAACATGGTTATAACAAAAGGCAAGGAGAAAGCATCTGAAGGAGGGGGCAATCTTTACATCTGGAGGGATGGCTAAGTCTGCATGGAAGCTGCATTGTTACAGCCCCCCCTTGTGGCAGGAGTGAATACAAATTATGCAAGAATTGTAAGAAAATATGATATAAGAATTGTGTTTGATGATTATTATTGTAATACAGGATGTATATAGCGCCAACAGTTTTCCACAGCGCTTTACACAATGGGGGAGACAGTACAGTTACAATACAATTTCAGTAGAAAAGGGTTAGGAAGGCCCTGCTCCTGAGAGCTTACGATTAGACAATTCCAAAAATCAGGCTCATTTTTTTTTAGAAAAGAAGAATTGTCTTTCTGATTTCTGTCACTATTAAAAAACCAGTATCTTTTATGAATTTCTAAAAAACATGCTGGTTTATTAATGTATTATATTTTTCACCTCTTCTGAAGTATTAGCATTATTTAGTAATCCTCAAATATTTCCTCACTTCCTGTTTTATCTGCAGGACAGGAAGTAGAGGGAAATATCTCCAATGAGACACAGACACAAAATAAACTAGAAGGGGTTTTAAAGAAGAACTATAGGGTTAGGGCTTTTCCCCATAGTTCTACTAAGGGTAACGGGAGGACACAAACTAGCATCCTCCCGTCACCCAAAGCTCAGTATACCGCAAGCTACAGCGCTGGAGGATCCGAGCAGTCACGGCTCTCTGCAGGGATAGATCGAGAAGTGAGCGAGCGACGGTATCTAGAGGCAGAGCCAGTTTTACCTGCCCCTCCCCCGTACGTTCCACCAGTCAGCGCTCGAGGATCGGACAGGGGAATCCCTGCAGGGAGCCGTGACTGACAGTCACGGCTCTCTGCAGGGATAGATTGAGAAGTCAGCGAGCGACGGTATGTGTTCGCTCACTTCATCTATTGAGCCGACGTGTGACAGTTTAATTGTCGCAGGTCGGCTAGAACTATGAGGCTGAGTGATTTTCACTCGCCTCATAGTTCTCCTTTAAACCTTCCTTATTTCATTCATAGCACTCCAAAGACATGCTGGTAGGTTAATTAACTCCTCTCTAAGTTGGCCTACTTAGATAGTAATCTCCTTGAGGGTAGGGACTGATGTGAATGTGCAACTATGTAAAGTGCTGCGTAAATTGCCGGCGCTATATAAATACCAATAATAATAATAATAACAACAAAGTGGCTATACATACACTTTAGACTGAAGATAATATTTAAAAACAGAACCATACATGTACTTTTTTTTGCTATGACTATATTTACTTGCTATAAAGATGTCAGTAAAGTATATTGAACTAATACATGCATATTTTCATTCATATAACTCTTCAAGGAAACGTCTCATGAGAGAAATATGGAAGCTGCCAATGCCAAGCTCTTTCTAAATGCTAGGTATCCAGCTACCATGCCAATTCTCTGGCTTCAATACTTTCTGGAACAATGATGCAGATCCTAGGTTGTTCTACCTCAGTGGCTCTGAAAGTATTAAAGCCAGACACAGTCAGGCAACTAGCATTTTAAAAAGGTAAAAATGGCAATCTACATATTTTTCTTAGCACACGTTTCCTTTATGACAAATAGAATAAAATAATGATGTTACTGTGTCTTAATACCACACCAAGAGTTTTGTTATTCATTATACTTACAGGATGTCCAGCAGTTTTTCTATAACAAGGGACCCAGAATAATTTTATAACTTACAATTAGGTTTACCTTGTCTACTAAACTCACCTGGTACAGGACTGGTTGTGACGGGAGCCCCTCCCTGCACTGCAGCTACGATCGCAGGGCTGTGTGTGGCCGCTGACCCCAGGGAAGACGGCAAGTTAGGAGGCGCTGAAGATAGGGCAATGGAAGGGTTATGTGGTAGTGGGGAAGGCCCACCGACCCGGCATGCTGCAGGAGGGAAAGAGCCATGCATGGGATGGGGCACTGGATAGGTGTTAGTCGGTGGGTTGTGATGAGCAGAGTCAACTAAGTCACTACTCATAATTAATGGTACAGGCAAAGGCATGCTGGGGTGCTGATTACCGGGCACCGGAGGCTGGGCAGGAGCAGATACTGCTGATGGGATCATGGGGTTGGGTGGTGGTTGGCCTGTATACGAACCAGAACCTGCAAAAAAGAAAAGAAATCACAGTTGCCCATGTTAATGACTAGAATCCACACAATATGCACATAATTCACAAACACTTCACCCAGAGGAAGAATGTACATAATGATGTTTTATACACAGCATTAGAATCTATAACATAAGAGGAGATGGAAAAATGTTCTTGCTGCCAATAGGTTCAAATTTTATGATTCCATTTTTCTATTACTTGAGATTTTAATTTATTAAACTGAACAATATTGTTTACGTCCAAAATAATTCATACCTCAAATCCCAGTTGTGTCCTGTGCTGAGTACTACGCTAACATAAAATGAATGCTGCCACCAATGCTGGCCATACACTGACTGTGCAAAACAGCATGGATGGGGGAATCCCCTCTGCTGTTCTATTGTGTTCTGACAGTGGGTGCACCATTGTTAAGAAGTGAACAACTGAAAACTGACTGCAGCTCATTGGTTGCAGAAACTGTTCAGCCGAGAATTTTGAGACGGGCTTCATCGACAAAATTTGATTGAAAAACTAACTTTTGTCAAACGAAGATGTCCCAACTGGTCCACAGACTGGTTAAATTGCTGGCTCGGCTGAAATTCAACCAGTGTATGGCCCAGCTTACCTCTCACTAGAGTCAGTGCTTAAAGTTCAACTACTGCACGAGGTGATGTAAGGATCGGTATAGTCCAAGTGGACCCTTTCCTCAAAGAAAACTTGTGGGAAAAGATATAAGTGGGCTTGCCACTGCGACCTCCTCAAAAAAGGAGTTTTTATGACTCAATGACTAAGAAACTTATGGAGCCAGAGCTAACTAGCCAGTTAGCTGGCTAGTTAGCTCTGGCTCCATTACTTTCTTAGTCACTGACTCATAAAAAGCATGCAGAAAGCAAAGTCAGAACAATAAGGGGTCAGCACTGAAGCCAGAAGGTCAGCATGACAACCAGACAACTGGCTTAACAGGTTGCCTGTAAGCAGTGGTAAGACTGTAGCTGGCACTCACGCTGAAATCTATTTCAATCAGCGGGAAACATTAAAATAATAATGGTCACATATGTATTGTCTCAGCTCAGTTTTCGTGCTGCACTGTGAATATACATTCACAGTGGTTCTGGAAAATTCTAGATCTCAGTTAAAATAAATGATACTTTACTATGCGATATAGCAGAAATTGCAACTAAACTGTGACTTAATATTTGACAAATCTCAAAATACACTGACTCTTGGAAGCTGATTAATGAGCTACAGCCCACAGCTCATTCATTGGACAAAGATTGGTAATAAAACGTATGATAAGCTAGTAAGCACAATGCAGTAATGTAGAAATCTGAGTTCTCTCTGCACTTTGTACAATTACTGCACTTCCTTTGTTCGGAAAGAGACAGGATGTGAAGGGAAATTTCTTCAGCAGTGATAAAGACAATAAAGACACATTTATTAGCAGAGCAGGGGAGGGTTAGAACATATGCCAGGCTTTTATTGCTGTCTGTCTTCCCATGATCACATGTGATCACTAGGACAGTATACGTTAACTTCCTAATCCTTTCATACTAGGCAGATCTAAAAAGAAAATACTTAAGAGATCCACTGAAACAAGATTTATTTCTAATATTTGTGGAATGGGGTAGAGTTTGATCTCCTGCTGGATTGGGAACATATTAGGCAGAACATGTCCTATCCTATTTGTGTGATAGGCAGAGCTCAGCTTTTCAGCTGATTTTGTTCTTGTATTACATACCAAGTTCTACTTATATACTTATGGAGAATTCACGTCTTAAAAGTAGGAGACTTCCAAAAACCAAATGAAAGGCCAAATACAACCTACCACATAAGGGGTTGGGGAAAAGCCTTCCCATTGTGTTCCCAACGTTTATAAAAGCTTATAGTTTAGACAAAATGTAGATATGCCCTGTTTCAGTGCCAACCCACTTCTCGAATATCAGTTCACCTAATCTCATCCCCGTTATATTTTTCCCCAGATATATTTAGGTCAACACAATGCAAGCTGGAAAGAACTTTTAAAGGAGAACTATGAGGTGAGTGCTTTTCACTCACCTCATAGTTCTAGCCGACCTGTGACAATGAGACTGTCACAGGTCGGCTCAGTAGATCGGGAGGTGAGCGAACACATACCGGGTTCGCTCGCCTCTCAATCCTGTCACTCTGTTTTGTACGTCATGATAATAACAGGAAAACAAAGGTCACAAATGAAGCATACACATGGAAAGTCACTCACCGTGTGCTGGGCTGGGTTGTGTGCCTCCTTGCTGCTGACTGTTCACTGGTGGTTGTGATGGAGGTGGATTTGGCTGACTCAGCCCTTCCGAACTGCTTGCTGTACCCCCAGATGCAGGGGTCACAGAAGCTTGTGTTACAGGGATGGAGTGGGCAGTGGGGGGCACAGGCTGGCTGCCAGGAGTCTGATGTTGCTGCTGGTGTTGATTCTGAATGTGCTGGAAGTGCTGTTGACGTGCTCTCAGCTCTGCGTATTTTAGCTGTTCCATGTGGAAGGACTGCCTGTCTGCTAGGAGCTGCTGCCGCTGATACTCCAGCTATGGAGGGAAATAGAAATACACATATCATGAACTATTCAGTAATGAAGCAAGTCCCAAAACCCCCCCAAAACTGGCCTCCTCCACAAGGATACAGCACTAGTAATGGCAAGCTTTGGCATCACCTACTCATGAGACAAGTACTGTACAGAGGAATTATCAGCACCTCAAAAGAGTCCTCGGAGTATAAAGCCTTGTTTTGTTCCAAAAATCTTTATAATCAGAATGGCAATTAAAGTCACTTTAAAAAGCACTCACTGGTGAAGCTGTCACCAGAGTATTAATGAGCAATGCTGACCAGTGCATTTGGTGATACAACACAGATCAGAGATAAATAATATACATATTACCATGAAAATCCATTTCATTTACTGTATATGTTGCTGTGGCAACCCATATAAAACATGAAAGGATAATGAGATACGTATGCTGCATATTTAAGTGGAAAATGTTAAAACGTTTCAGGACGTACCGCCTCCCGTTCTCTATCCATGATGGTCTCCAGCTCCTCAAAGTGCCTCAGTTTGATCTCTAGTTTCTTCATTTGAGTCTCCACCAGCAGAGCCACCAATGACTTGATCTTTCGTTCCTCCACTGCAGCCAGGTGCTAAATAATGGCACATAACAATGGTTAGAAAAAGGTGATATTTATGCTAGTTCATCATTCATTCATTTACCATCTGTGTCCATCCAGATGCTGAGAAACTACTTGTTCCTGTATGTCTTCTATTTGTTTGATGACCATTTAAAGACTGTGGGAGCAGCGGGATTATAAGTAGGTCCCAAAGGCACGACGTTCATACTGAGGGGAATTTATCAAAATTGGAGCAGATAGAATCTGGTGCAGTTGCCCATGGCAACCAATCAGCATCCACCTTTCATTTTCAAACCTTAACTGAACAAACTGAAGAGAGAAGCTGATTGGTTGCGATAGGCAACTGCTCCAGATTTTCTCTGCTCCAGTTTTGATAAATGCCCCCACTGCATTACCATCTTAAACATTCTGACATACTGGATGTTCCTATAAAAGGCCCCATTCACACCTGACCGTTTTGTAGCGCGTCCTACGCTCGACGAACGCGCTACAAAACGGTCAAAAAAATAAATAGCATTGTAGTCAATGGTATCGTTCCCACCTGTCCGTATTTCCGCCCGTCCCCGAACGCACTACAAAACGGCCCACGCCTGAAAAGGTCCCTGGACTACTTTGGGCCGTTTTGTAGGGCGTTTTCCATTTGGATACAGCCAAGTAGCCTTTGGAATCGCGCGACTTTTTTACCGCGAATTGCGGTAAAAAAAACGCGTGACGGTCGCGCGACAGACGCGCATATTACAATACGCCTAGGTGTGAATGGGGACAAAGTGTGATGGTAATCCTCTCAAGCTTACACTGATAAGGAAACATTTATCACAGAAATAGCGTACTTTGTAAAGCTAAACTTTCACCTGATCTGGCATTGCAAGACTATAATTTACAAATAATCGATTTTGTGCGGATAAACAGAAGTTTAAGGGCCTGTTCACACCACATGCGCTCAGGCTGTTCTGGCCTTTTTGTCCAGAGCAGCCCACACAGAAGACAAGCAATTTGCCTTGTCATAGGTGGGCATGTCACACTAATGCGTTCCAGCGGTCTGCGCCTAAAAATACATTTTAAAAAACATACGGCATGCAGTAATTTCTTTTTCTGGGCACCGCAGTAAGAAGTGGTACAACCACATCACACCGCGTGAGCCCACAGAACTTAACGAAATGTAACTTGTAATATTTCAATGAAGTTCTAACAAAAAAAGAAAGAAACACTGCGATGCGGCTCAATTGAGTGCACCGGCACTGGCTAGGCACACACCAGCAGCCATGCGGTTAAGTGCAGCTGCTAGTGTGAACAAGCCCTGATACTGCGAGCTAAAAAGAACATGGCTGCCTTTAACCCTTTCGCTGCCCATGCCTTTCATGCATTTTTTTTGCACAAGTTACAATCCACATTTTAGGCCTGAAAATTACTTAAAACCCTCAAACATGATATATTTTCTGAAAGCACAGACCCTGTAGAATAAAATCATGGCAGTTGCAATATTGACGCAACTCTTCATTAAACTCATACATTTTGTAAGTTAATTTTAGTAACAAAAACACAATACAATAGACATTTTGTGGTAAAATAAAAAAGATAAGGTTAGGATGAGTAAATAGATACCAAACATGCCCAGGTTAAAAACTGCGTGCGTCAGTGAACAGGCGACAAAATACGGTACCCCAAATTGTCAATAGGTGATGCTTTAAAAGCCTGCACAGGTCATTAGTTTAGAGATATCCATGAATATTGGCCCTAAAATTATTGCTGACTCTCGCGCATTCGGTAATACCGAACAAGTGTTACACGATAATCGTTTTCGTATGTAGGCGCACCCAACGTGTGTTTACGGAAATACGCTCACTAGCCCACTATTTAATAGCATACTAGTGGTGACAGGTACTCTTTTAAAGTGACACTAGGGGTGTAATAGACCCCCTAGTGTCACCTTTCCACTGCAAATAAGCTATTGGACTATTGCACAGACTGCACTCCAATAGCTTATTGCCCAGCTTCTGCAGCCGAGCAATGACCTCTGAGGGACTAAAAGTGATGCAATCAGCATTGCGCTCAGTACCTGCTTCCCGCCAAAACCCGTGATGCCGGTCTTGGGCCCGAAGGAGGGGCAGTAGAGCCCAGGAAGCAAGGAGGGGGTATCACCCACTACACCGGCCCCTCGAAGCGATCTGACAGCAGCTCAGCTGCCAGAATTGTTTCTAGTGTAAAGCGACAGTGGGATTTGCACATGTAAACAGAGTCCACTGCAGCTAGTCTGTTTAGATTTGTAAATCTGTCACTCCGATACTTACCCCCGATAGCGGAACTTCTGGTCAGAGAGATCTCCCTCTGACCGGCAGTGCCGCGAGGGAGCATGGAGCTGGCTTCCCGGCCAAAAAGGAACATCATTGGAAATGTAGTTTTTAGAAATGAATGAAACTTCTTAAAGGAAAACCACAATAAATATTAGAAGTTAGTTCATCTGAGACACTACAGTTGATTTGAACTCAAAGTATTTGAAAATTGTACAAATGTTCTGAAAACAACATTTTTCAAAATAAATTCTACTGAAGTATGGCCAGCTTAAGTATGCAGAATTGTGTGGGTCCTAGGTTTGTTAGGTAAAACTGGGCCAACCAGAGACAAGTATATTACTTACTTTAGCCTTCACAGCAGCAGCAGCCAAGGCAGAAGCTGCAGCTGTAGAGAGGTTCCCCTCTCCGATGTCTCTCTCCACCTTGTTCTTCACTGCGGTTTCCTCCTTATCTGTTTCTTCTGAACCTTCTTTACTATCAGATACTTTGTCCCCATCAGCTATAATAACACATAAAAATTAATTGAAATACACACACATGTAATGAAAATATCATGGACTTGACATAATGTTCCCTTTGTGTCATTCTACACAACTACATGACGCATGGTTAAAGGGTCAGCCCACGCAGTGCTGAGGGAGGTGTTTGGCAGTGAATGAACGGGCGCTGGGGAACATAAGGTCAATTGTTGCCCTGATGTTATGGGGGAGGGACTGTGCCCTTCACGGGTCTTTTTCCTTCCCCCACTCAAGGGTCTTTCTTCAGGAGAGCCCTTACTAAGTATTTGGTGGACCAGGTTTGACTGGCCCCTAAGGATCGGGGTCCATCTATCTAGGTGGACTAGAGTGCCTTGCCCCTGTCAGGAGCCTTATGCTCTAGGGGGGTTCAGGGATATTGTGGCCCTCTTTTTCAGAAGAGGACCAAGCACCCTCGTGCACTTTTGTGTGCTGTTTACTTTTTTTGTTTACAGGGGTTTATGTAGCAATTCACGCACTGTGTAGCTTAAAAAGACAAAAAAATGAGGAATTTATAAGGAGGTGATGGAATATACAAAGCTTAGAGGGAAATTCCAAAATGCCTGGAACAGAATATAGATTCTCACTGCTGAAGTATCCAAGACCAATAAAAAAAGGTAGAGGTTGACTCAGACCACCAGGCTCTGTCTATAAGTAAAATATTACTGGAATGAACCTTTTGTGAAAGATTTAACAGGGAAATTCCAGCAGCAGAACACAGTTAGTGTGTAAAGTAACATTGCCTCAAATATGTCATATTTATTTCGCCCATAATTCTATTTTTACAATGTGCCATGGAGCTAACCAGCTAATATGCATACCTACAGCTCCTAGGAAAACAAGCACAGCTCCCTGATAGCAAATGTATAGAACAGAAAAGTGTGTGAAGGAAGTGAAACCTACCCATATCTACATCACTCTTCTCAGAGTCCTTGTCTGTGTCATCTTTGCTCTTCTCTTCCTCCTTCTTTACAGAATCACTACCACGCTCCTTTGCGTCCTCTTCTGTGACAGGCTCAATAGGTGAATCCTGGGGAAGCAGAGAAATCACCTCGTATAAATTCATTTATTGACTATTCAGAACTCCAAATTATAAAAGCAGGGCTTCTGCATTCATTTCTTTTTTTATGCAAGACCACAATTATAGTCCATATATGAAACAAAAACTGTGTTTTCTCTATTCAGGAAGAATGCAGCAGACAGTAGGGATCACCATTTTGAGGAAGCTCTTTTTTTTCTTTTCCTGCACTGCAAGCAACTCACATCAATATCCATAAATAGGACACAAATTAAATAATTCAATGAGGCAGTGCAAATGGCAATCATATTGTTCAGTGTACAGCAACTAAACATTTTACTTTACTGTAATCAGATCAGATAAATACAAGTCCTGAATAACTGCTGCCTCTCTAGTCCCTGGAATGGAGATCTCCTTTCTCGCAGTTACTTCATTCTGTATTAGAACAAGAGGATGGAAGCAGCAAAGACTTAGGCTGGGCACACACCTTACAACCATCGCAAGACTTTTGTCTTGCGATGGTTGTAAGGTACTTAAAAAAACGTACAATCTGCCTATCTTGCATAGGCAGATCGTACTTGCGATTATCGCAAGCCACGCCCCCTGAAGGGCGGGCTTCCGATGACCGCAATGCCGAACGGGCAGTGTGCGCTTGCCCGTACGGCTGTTATCGTACGGACATGCCACAAACCCGCCGAACATCGTACGATGCTCGGCGGGTTTTCGAACATGTCCGTAAGTTTAAAGTCGTGCGACCATACAGTAGTAGAGGTTGCAAGGCTTCCACACACCTTACGATAATCGTACGATCGCGGGATTTCCCGCGATTATCGTACGATTATCGCAAGATGTGTGGGGACCCTTATACATCATAGAAGATTGGTTAAAGCCTAACTACTACTTCATTTAACATGAAACCATGTCCAAATTTGTATATATATATATATATATACTGTATAATCTGGCTGTTTACTGGACAGAGATGTCCCTGCTGCTTAATCGGCATACAAACTATTGAACCAGCTTCCACAGTACTGTAAAAATCAGCAATGGTCAACTTAGTAAATAAAGGGGGCCTTAAAGTGACATTTAAGTCAAAAATCCCCCCTCCCCCCACTGCTGCTTTAACGACTTACCTTAAATGATGCCTCTTGATCCGATCATCATCTTCTTTCCAATAGTTTTCAGGAGTCCCTCGAGTGCCAGTCTCTGATCCAGCGCTGACTCCTGTCTCTTCCTGTCCCACGGAGTCTGTGCGTGTGCACCCTGCTGCATTGAATTACCCTGCATCTTTATTCTTATCTTGGCCGAAGATCTCTACTGCGCATGCGCCCGCCCCATGATCCTTTGCAGTCGTTCAAGAATTTTCAGATCTTCGGACAGGAGCGTGCAGTGGAGACACAGGTACGTTTAAACCTGTTTGGTAACTTTAAAAATTATTTTTTTTGCATATACAGTATCTCTTGCTTGCTAGCAGTAGATATATGCAAAAACACACAAGGCTTTATTAACCCTTTAAGTGCAGCCTCTGATATAGCCAGAGGGCCGGTTTTCATAACGTTGTGTTGAGTTAACCAGCAGTAAAATTATATTTGGTCGCGCGTTACAGCAACACACAGTAATATATGCACTACCTAATGCAGAACGCCTTAATGCACGGTAGTAAATTTTGCAGGTGCGTTGATGCAACAGTGAGAATAGGCCCATAGATGAGATCAAATCGGGTTTTTGAGCAGACCGCACTTAGCAATTCTGGTCACATTTTTACAGGTTTGCAATTGTTAAAATTCTCGATGACTCTGCACTTGCTTACATAGAAAATACAAATGTCATCCAGAACATCCCAAGATATTTGGGACTAATGAGGAGAAGGTTCTTTTTAAAAAAGAATCTTATAAAATTCCATTATCTTTTTTAGTCCCCTTTTTTATGGGATGTCGGGGCAGTGAAGACCTGATCTGGTCCCCCCCATGCAACTGTGTAGCAACAGATCACATATAACAGTGATGTATTGCTGCAGGAGGAGGCTAAACAGCTACTCTGCCCCGAGCCTCCATTCTGACAGGATGTGCTGAAACTTCCCTATAAATGTAACCACAGTGTGAAACCATTGTTCTACATTGAGATTTTAGTTCCTGCAACACCCACTTCCATGGAGCAGAAACCAAGAGCTAATCGATTCAGCTCCCAGGTTAGTGTTGGACTGTGGTGCGAATGCACCGATACAGAGTATTTGGGCGAGTACTCGTACAAATGCTCCGGGACTGGAACTTCCGGTCAGAGGGAGATCTCCCTCTGATCGACAGTGCTGCGAGGGAGCATGGAGCCGGCTTCCTGGCCAATCAGGAAGGCAGGCGGCAGGTTATGACCCGTGGCCCGTCTTCCTGATCGGCTAGGAAGCCAGCTTCACTCATTGCTAGGCAGCCTGGCTTCCTGATTGGTCAGGAAGCCAGGCTGCCTTGGAATGTGATGCCGGTGTTCTTTCAATAGAACACAGGCTTCCCAGGCAATCAGGAAGCAAGGTAGCGTGTCATGACCCGCCGCCCAGCTTCCTGATAATCCAGGCCCATGGATATCGGTATCGGTGAGTATCGAAAAGAAAATATTGGAACTCGTACTTGATACCGAAAAACCACCATCAGTGCATCCCTAGACTGTGGTTGTCCCAGTGCTAAATTCTGCCGGAGCCATTGTCATCTTGCATGTGCTTTCTGTGATCCAGAATGGATTTGAATTTTGGAGCACAGTGGGCCACTTGTTGAACATCAGTGATATACATGATTCAAGCCTCTTTATAAAATAAAATAAAATAGATTGGGCCTTGATCTGGGTTAGTTTTATATATATAATATTTTTTTTCTTTTCATATTTTGGCCTAGTTTTTCACTAAATCAGGAGATATCCATAACATTTATCACGAAATGAAGACCCAATTTATCCAGAAAAAAAACAAGTCCTGGATACACTAAGTAGTGGCAAAGATATGTAATTTTTTTTTGTTGCTAGCACACAGTAAAACTGGGTTCAGGTGTTAAGGTTTGTTTTACCTTCAGTCATTAAAGGGTTAAATGCAGAATACCGGTTCTGTGTAAAGTGTAGGGTTTACCTTTGGTTCCTTCTTCTCTTCTGCGGGCTGTGGTTCAGGAGGAGGTTCCTCTGTAGTAGTTTCCTCTAGAAGCAAAGCATTCCAATATAATACAGGAATTACATTATAAACACACATTTCTGTTAATAAATTCAAGTATAACAGGCCTCTTCCAAGTATATGGATAGAAGAGACAATTGTAGCAGATAGGTAACAGAAAACTGCTCATTCATATAAGGACTGTGCTCACCTATTCGCTCATTGTCTTCACAAGCAGTGCCAGCAATGCCACTGCTCTCAAGGCCATAACTTGGGTCAGGTTTGCCAGTTATTTTGGCTGCATCTTCCACCTTTCGGACGTGAGCTTCTACTAATGCCGTGGGAACCTCCTCCTTCATCTTAGAAAACTCCTCTATTGGTAATGAGAAAAAAGCGATTTTACCAGGAGGCAGTAATCAAATATAAGGAGTGGGCAGCAACATGTTATGGAAATATAATTCTGTAAAGGGGTAATTTCAGATCGAGATCTATCAGCTTAACCAAGTGTGCTGGTGAGAAGAGTATCCATAAATCTGAGAAGTTCAGTGCACACCATGCTATGGTGAAATGGTGGATGGAGCCACCACAACAAATGTCCAAATCCAAGATATCACCAGCACATTCAGATAAGACAGGACACTTTATTTTCAGCAACAGGAAGTGACGTTTCGAAGCACATGATAAAAGGATTCTAGTGGCCTCGAAACATCGCTTCCTGTTGGTGACAAAGTGTCCTGTCTTTTTATCTGAACATGGTGTGCTGGTAATATCTTGGGTGCAAAGAGAAAAACTCCCAAGGAAGAAGTAACTTCACAATATTCAACCGGCTTTAAAGAGAGCCTTTACTGCATTTCTGACACTAGAGGAGGTCCTACAATTCTGGGACTTATCAAGTGCAACTATTCAGTTCACTGCCTATTGTATTTTACAGCTATGAAAAGAATACCTAAGGCTGATTTGGCCGCAGCAGATGCTACACGTGGATCCACGACAGAGGCCAGGAAGGCTACAGTACTCATTACAGGGTTGCCAGACTGGCTAAACGGTATAGGTTGATAGGCCAAAGGACCAAGAGATGCTTCCGAGTTCTCTAAATATGGATCCTCAATAGGTAACCGCAGGAAGTGTAAAATACATTCATCTTGAGTCCGACTGCCAACATGTTCAGACACCTTGTTCCAGTCATCTTTGTACATTTCTAGAGCCTGCAAAGAATGGAATGAAATGGAAAACTCAGGTTATCGGCATAACCTTACATTTACATGAATGGCTGTAACTGTCATGGATTACCTCAAGGAGTAACAGCGTCTCCTGCTCAGTCCATTCCCGTGTGGCACTTGCAGCAGATTTACTCTGTAACACAATATAAAAACAAACTGAAGTCACTGCCACCCATAGAGAAATATTAAAAGGAAGAAATCATAAGAATGGCGTAATAAAAGAGAGTTCTAATGGTGGGTGTTATAACTACAACAGAAACAAAAAAACAAAAAGCCATAATAAAAATGACTACTTAATTATAAGACATCTGAATGTAAGAAAACACCACAAGCTACATTATTACATTTTAAAGCCTTATGATCACCACGAAAGTAACAATATGATTGTTTCATACAAAATAATCTTTCAGCAATCGAATAAAGCTATACTTAGACATTTTTTTTAAAGTTTTGGATAGGGTGTGGAACGATCAGAACCCATGTTAGGTTTTTACTGGTGTCTGTGTCTTCATTAGCAAGATTCACTCTCTCTGTTGGTCTTGGTGACCAATGCCACCAGGAATGAAAGTGAAGGGAATTGAGGGGAAATCTTCCAATTTTCATATCTGTTCTAGTGACAACTGTCTAACAAGAGATTTACCTCACTTTGGGGAGATTTGAATTTTCTTCCGGTTTGTCTACTCTTGAACAGGATTTTCTTTCACATCCGGTTGTGTCTACAGGCAGGAAGTGAAGGGAAATCTCTTGAACAGGACACAGATCACGAAAAAAGAAAAAAAACCTGAGGGCTTTAACCATTCCCTACTCTACCCAAAAGGAAAAATCCAAACGTTTTGGCTGTAGATATGCTTTAAGCAGTTTAATTGATAAACGGTGTTTCCATAAAAAGGAAGGATAAGCCCTGTTGAAAAATCAATCTAAATTAATTTTCTTTGTTGTGTGGAATGACAGTATATAGGCAAAATATGGTTTAAGCTGATTGTGTATCAACTTCAGTAAGGCCAGCATTAGTAATCTACTGTTCCCTTATCTCATCAACAGAGGTGCATTTCCTTGTAGAACCCACCTTGGAAGTTGTATTCTTCTTGCTATACATGTCAGTCCTTAGGCCAAAGTTTTGTAGGTCACTTGGTTTTTCTTTACCTTTGTCTGGAAAATTGAGCATCTGCTGTGAGGCTGAGGTCTGCCAGGAGAATAGAGGAAAATAAAACATACATGTGACAAGTAGAAAAGGCAAGATGAGACAGTAAACCGCAAGAAAGCATTATCAGAAACCTGGATAAATGCTTATATGAATACAGATAGATATCTAAGCTTAAAAGCAATCACCTGCATACCTCAGATGTAAATGGCCTCCATTAGGATAACTGTAATAGTCCAGCAGATGCTTAAAACGTCAGAAATGTCAAACTGCTTGTTTTACTGAAACACATCTGGACTGGAGTAGTGGCTGCATATATGTGAGTTGGTGGTTGATTCCTTGTAAAGCACCTTAGTTACAGGCTGTACAAGGAAACACAAGAGTACCTGTGGTGTTTTTGGCTGCAGTGGTACCAGTCCTGATGGTGTGTCAGCTAAGACATGGAAATGTGAAGTGGGAGGTGGTCCCATTGGTGTAGGACGACTCTCGGCATCCACTTGGTAATTAATCAATCCCCATTGTTCCAAGAAAGCATGGACCCTGTGTGAAGCATTAAAAAATCAAATGAAACATCCATCACTTGTGAAACTCACAAACTGTTCTGCTAGGAAGTGCTACAACAAAGGTTAACCTTTTTGGTTGCATCAGATGGCAATGACATGTCACACGCACCTCATTATAGCGCAAACATCCCCTGCCAGGTTGCGCCGGCATGCCGTTGAAGTGAGGTATTCCTGAGGATTCAGTCGATATGTGTCAATCATGAAGTTTCGATATGCCAAATAGCTAAACAAAACAAATCATTTTAAACATTCTGTACTATTTAGCATGCTTTTTATATTCTAAAAAACTGGAAAGGTTCTAAAATATGTAAAAATGTCTGAGTATAGATGTGTCTCCTGTGTCTGGCACCTTTGGAGGAACCAAATATCAGCCAGCAACGGTGAACTACTTTTCAACGGAAATACTGAAAACAGGTCAGTGATCTAGAGCAGTGTTTCCCAACCTTTTTTACTTGCATACCACTTGGCAGCTCATTTCAATACATTGTACAACTCCAAATCAGAGTGCATGGTAGCGTGCTGCGACTGCTGTCAGTCGATGGAACTTAAAGCAGGAGAAGGGTGACATTAGATCACTCTGCTCCTGCCTGACGAGGCCTGTTGAATACTTGGGAACTTAGCTAAATCAGCAAGCCTGAGAATAGGGGGGCGTGCGTAGCAGGCCGCTCCGAAATGTGTTTAATGGTTGAGGCATGCGTCAAACTAGTGCCAATGCTTGTGGTACACTGTATCAAATTGAAGAGTTTAAAAGTGGTGCAAAATAGGGGGGCAACAGTGGCAAATTAAGAAATGCTCCGGCATCAAAAATGTCCCTGCGTCCATGGCGTCATTATAAGGAAAAGATGTCGCTGTGTTGGTGTCAGGGAGAGGAAAAAAAATACTGCTGCGTTAGTGTCAGTGGGATGGAGGCGGTAAGCTGGGAGGCTGGATTGTGGGGCTCTTTGGGGTGTACCATATTGCAGTGGTGTGTCCAGTGTTAGGTTGACACTGGAAATCCTGAATCTGAGGCTCCTCTGGGGTTTTGGGGCAGCTGTGGGTTGGAGGGCTTATCTTTCCAAGATAGTTATCTGGATCATGGAGGATGCAGATGGAGAAAGCATACAGTCTGGCGGCTTACCTGTATGTTGCAGTTCAGAGAGCGCCGCAGGAGCACTAGTGTATTTGTTAGTGTAGTGTAGGGGATCAAGGCTACATTGTGGAGAAAGTCTCATCTGTTAAAATCACCTTAAGAGACTTGTGGCCAGTGCGACCCTAAGGAAATGTGGTCAAGCCAATTCTATTACGGCAGGACTCCCTGGCAGGCCTTGGATAATGGTGCTTGCGAGGTCCTGCACAAATACTCCCCCCTCCTGTTGCGGGCATCTTCATAACCAGGCAACAGTTCCCTGCCTGTGTTAGTAAACAGGTGGCCACACCACTGGATTTTTCCTCCAATTGTTTTTTTTTTACATACCCCTAAAAGGTCCTGGTGCATACCTCAGGTTGGGAACCACTGATCTAGCAATAGAAACACAGAAACTCCCTTTTCTTTCCTTTCACTTTAAAGTAACTACTCTGTATAGTTCAAGTTATTTTACACATTTAGCACCAATAAATGAAACAGCATCCTACCACGCACAGAGTCATCTACACCAGTCCCCTCCCAAAAGGAACTAAATCTAATACCAGCCCACATACTCTAGGGGAAATTTGCTCAGAAGCTCTGTTATCTACCATTTTTTTGGGTTGCAGAGCACATAACCCTAAAACTGTGAGTAAGAGTGAGAGCTACTTAACCATAACACAATCCTGGTGCTAATGGAAAAGTGATGTTAATGGGTCACGTGGAGCATACCCTATGTACTGAATTTTTAATAAGCAACTTTTAAGACCCAACAAGCAAACATGTTTGGCTAAATAAACAGTACTAATATGAGGGATACTTACATCTCAGGGGTTTTTGATTTGTTCTTTCCATTGAAAAACTCAGGCAGTGCTCGGCGCTCAATTGCATGTACACTGCAAGAAGAAGCCAATGGTCACATAGGATGAACAGCGGTCGCCATTTTAAGTAACATCAATTAGTTAATAATGGAGGTGACCACAAATAGTACCTATTATAGTCAAACCAGGCCGCATAGCTGGGGATAATAATGTGATGTGTTTGTTCAGTTACATTGTCTTCATGAAGGTCAGAGGTCTTCACTTGTTCAATTTTGATCCCTGAAGAGTTCTCATCTTCTTCCTAAGAGGACCAAGGAACTATATTAGCTGTACTATGTGTTCCATGCAATATATGTTTGTCTAAGGGAGTATAGGCAACAGGGCAGGCCCAGGAATTATACACAGCTTCTCAAACTCTTAAAAGGTGTCATGACAAACTACTATTAAGCTGAATGTTTGGTGCATTATAACAGAGAAAGAGTTCTCAAGTGCTTAGATAGATATGGTACCTGCACTCACATAAAAAGTAAAAAAGCCCAATATAATTTAAAATATTCAAAAATGCAAGCTAATGTCTTCATAATAAGCCATTATATACACATATATGATGGAGAAACAAATCAAAAGAAATGTGGTACATTATTACCATGTACAAGCACATATCTGGCATTACCAGTTGGGGTTCACTTTATCCATTTGACTTTGCAATTGCTAAATTTGAAATATATATGTAGATTTGCATTTAATGAATATCACTGGCATGCAAAGAGCCCTACATATGAACCCATCTATTGGAACAAACAATCTTCTGCCTTAATATTTAATAATTCTGACTCATTAATGTCTTAATCTTCATACAGTCATACAGACACATATACCCAAGGCAAGTTTAAAACACCTTAAGTAATTCCCACGGACAATCCCTTTAATATTACTGATGCTCAATGCCGATGTTACATCAACTGACACCCGTGCTTGCTATTAGTTGTTACATTGCTTTATCTCACAGCTATCCTGTCACAAACAGTGATTGTGAAGCATTCAGCCTGACACTACTATGACAGCCAATCATAGTGATAACATTGCTCTGTGTACAAACAAGTTGCCAAAAAAATGTATTCCGAGCCATCAAATGAGAACAAGACACCACACCCCTAAATTCACAAATACAACAACAAGAATACTCAAAATGGGGCTTTTAAGGTGTCACGGCTCGAGTGAAAAGGGCATAAATTACATTGTAACAAACAAATCACATCTTTATCATTTGCAAGTAAAAGCAGTATGGGGTACGGATAGTACACTGGCACCAGAGAAGGGGCATTCGTCCAAAGGTAAGTATAGCAGGGGGGGAAGAGAGGGGGCCAGATTAGAGCGGGTAATTGCATTTTCCCAAATTCAGAAAGTGGTATTACCCTTTGAAGCTGAACTTCAGACAAACAGTTAAATGCACAGATGAAATACATATATGAAAGCTGTTATCCCTGCCACATGATTTAATTTATGGTCATCCATTGCTGGGATTTATGCAGGTTGCCAGACTGTACAGTCCACTCTGAACCCCCAGTCTGCTTACTGAACAGTGAAAGCACAGCAGTGGACTAATGATAATTATTACTCTGCTCTCTACTCCTATGAGCATGTGCTGGTCCAAAACATTTGCATGCACCGCACCTGATGAACTGCCCCTCTCTCTCCCAGTGTGAGTTCTGCTGTATAAGGGATTGCAAAATAGCTAATACCAAGTCAAGTTAATGTAGCTACTCATTCATTTTCTAATTTTAACTGTATTTAACTCTATACAGATATAAAAGACAGAGTTTAAGCTCTGAATTCATAAATACATTATTAAATGTATTTTTTCAGCATGGGAGAATGAGTAGCAGCACAAGGAGCCAATCAGGCTTGTGCAAACATGGGAGCATGCTGATAAGAGAGAGCAGAGTGAGCTCATCAGTCTACTCCTTTCACTTTCCAGTGTCAGGCTGAGAGGGGCAAGGAGATAAAAATCAGGACCTTGTCCTTTCAGGAAGGGCTGTGCTGTGTGATGAGGATGTATCAATCTCAGAAACAGTTGAACAGAAAACACAAATCCTTTGGCAGGTAATACAGGTGCCATATATGTATTTAATCTCTGGGATAAGCTGTTTGCCTGGAGTTCAGCATGAACAGGTGTATACAAGAAATATAGCAACTGCCACTGCTGACTTCCATCTAGCAGTGCAGATGAGAAAAATAGGATTTTGTTCTAGCCATAAAAACATTTTCTCCATTGAGGGACATAGCTCTAAAGAATTCTGAGACTTAGGGCTATGCTGCTGCCTCCAGTAAAAACGGACACTAGGCAAAACAGAAACAAAAAAAGCCTGTCACTTTACGGACATAAACTCTTCCGCCTCACACCTGTCAGTTGTAGCAAGCAGTACGAAAAGGAACGGAGGGGAGGGAACTGTGTCCCTCACCACACTCCAAAAAAAGGATTTTACTATAAGAACAGAATCCTATTTTCTCTATTGTCCATTGACGGACACAGCTCTGAAGAATTCTGAGACGTAGGAATGTTCAAAAGCAGACCGAACAGAGGGGCGGGCACCATAATAACGAGAAGAAGCAGCTCAAAAAAATACTCAAACAGCGGCCTGAAAATCTTTTCTGCCAAAACTAGCATCACAACAGGAAGAAACATCAACTTTATAAAACTTAGCAACATTGTAAACAGAAGACCAGACTGCGGCCTTGTAATTTGAGTAACAGAAGCTTGATTCTGAAATACCCAAGAAGTACTAACTGCCCTAGTTGACTGAGCAGAAACAGGAAAAGATGGTACCCTCAACCACAGCTCATAGGCCTCATTCACACACAACGCAAGCAAAATTGTATATTGCGTATATACGCGTATATGCGCGTATATACGAGCATATATGCGTGCACCATATGCAATCCCAGAATGCATCACTCGTAAGAAAACACGCAGAAATACGCTGCCCGGACACATCTCTGTTCCATTCTGTTTTCGCGCATATATACGCTACGCAAATATACGGCTCTATACGCGGCTGTGTGTATGGAGCCATTTATTTGCATAGGTTGCATATGGTACAATACGCACGTACCCGCGTATACGTGCGGCAGTGTGAATGAGGCCTTAAGCTTGAATGGCAACCTGACGAATCCACTTAGAAATGGCACATCTAGAAGATGAACAACCTTTTCTAGGACCTTCAGGTAGAACAAATAAAAAATTAAATGAAAAAGCATGTGGGGAAACCCCAAAGACTCACACCAATGAAAATAAACCTTCTAGGTAAGGTGATAAATCTTACTTTTGTATGATGCTGTGTGAATCTGTCACAGCCCAGCTACTGTATCAATGATCTAGTACAGTATTTATGACAAGCATTAGGTGTATTATATTCATGAGCTGAACCGATCGGCTATGTTCCTTAATCAAGGAAGGAAAAGTGTGTGCCCCAAGAACCTAGATAAATGTCACCAATGGCCAAACCCTGTATAACTTTCACGAGTGCTGCCGTTCTTTATGGAGTAAAAAATAAGTAATCAGTATTCAGGAAAAAAAAGAAGGGACATAAACAGTAACAGTTTTTCCCAGTAAGCCTGAACAGAAAAGAGTGAGAGCTCCCCCTCGTGGCCAACTTGTGAAGTACATAAAGTATAACAAGCACAGGTCATCAAAGCAACACCTCAGAGCCCTTGTAATGGACAGGGCACTTGTAGAAGAACCAGAAACATCAGTGACACCAATGTAAAACACAAATGTCACTAAATAAAACCAGTAGTAAGATAAAGAGTAGGAAAGGAATAAACATCACTTCTACACAGCGCTTTGCTAATGACAGTCTGTTCTGGCAATTCTGCTTTAGACTGATTTAGACACAATAACACTCATGGCCCCGACCAGTGTGAGGTAAAAATATGAGGTACTGCAAACAGCAGAATATCTCTGTTCTCCCCAAAGAGGCACATTAAATTGAGGGCAAATAAGAAACAAAGGAAGCAGTCTAAATTGCTCCTTCCCCCTTTATCGCCAATAGAAACACACCACCATAAAAACGGACTGTGCATGCTTGCACATGCACAGCAGATAAAAACAAATGCGTCATCAAATTGAAGTCCCAGGCTCTTAAAGAGACAGTGGGAAATTTAAATAAAGTCAGTCAAACACCACATTAAGGCATTCAGACAAACAGAAGTCTAAAAGCACACAGCCAAAGTAAAATAAAAAGGAAGGAAAAACACCCAACTTCATAAAGATGAGGTAAATAGATTTTTTACTCATGAATCCATGGCCATGTTCCTGACATAACGACAGGAATCCCCAGGTTAATACTGGCCTGACCGTTAAATGATGAAAACAGGAACACAGGACCACCACAGGACAAAGCATAAGTACTGAGACCAGAAATGACCTGCTTCATGAAAACTAGAGAAGCTTCCAGGATTTAATTTATCAGGCATGAATCTCTCAGTTTTGTCAGCTAGCTAGAGATACTTCCAGGATTTAATAATATCCAGTATGAATCAACTAGCAGCTCTTGGTAGTAGAGTTTTCAATAAAGAAACAATATAAAATAATAAACCAGAAGAGAAGGAGACATCCAAAGACAGACTTTAAATTTTTTTGCCTGGCGTCCATTTCTCCTGGAGGCAGCAGCATAACCCTACATCTAGACAATGGACGATAGAGAAAGTCAGAAGTCATTTTCTACATACTTATTCTGGATCAGTGACCTAAAGCATTGAAGCAGAGAGGTCAGCATGACATCCAGATTTTTAATGAAGTAAGAGTCGACAATGGCAGCATTCATATTTCTCGCATATTTCTGACAAACCCTTAAAGCTAATCCATAATCTAGTAATGTAGCAAGAAAACAAAACAACATGATTTCATCAAAATTAAAGGCTGCCAGCTATCTTTCCTGATTGCCCATACGTAATATGCAAACCCCCACCTTTGTCACTGCTTCCATACTTTCATCTTCTTGTTCATCTGCAAGAGACATGCAAGAGAATTGGAGATACTACCATCACTAATGGTCTCAGAGGTTAAATACATCAGTTATATGATCATTTAGCTTGAGAAATATGGGTTTCATGTAATTTAGATCTGTGTGTTCAGAATATGTATATTTAACAATAGCAATATACAGAATATGTATATTCAATAGTATTGTTAACAGACCAAAAAGAAAGAAAATAAGAGAAGTTCACGCTTTACAAATATGTTCACACCTACAAAGCATGTGCGTTTAGGGATTCCTGAATCAGGAACCTTGAAATTCCTGCAGCAGGAATCCCAAACATGCAGTTTAGAAGCAGCAGCTGTCACCCATTCAAGTTAATGATCAGGTGACAGCGGCCACATTTGAAAGCGGCAATGTGCTTAACTATTACATGCAGATAGGAAGAGATCGCTATCCCTGAACGCACAATCAATGATTATGATTTATATCACATACGATTACATGGAGTGTGCCACTTCTAAACAGAATATGTGGGATTCCTGCTGCAATAATTCTCAGGTTCCTATCGCAGAAATCCCTAAACACACCTGTTTATAGGTGTGAACGAAGCGTTGGTGTGTTTCCACTTTTGCAGCCAAATTAGGATAACACCTATTTTATATTTGTTACATGTTCCCATTCACATAGTATAACATTAAGAAAAAATATGTTACCAGCTCTTTTTCTGAAAACTCCAAAACGAAAGTTTTTCCATTCTCTGTCATTTAAAGGAGAAGGCTTGAGCGTGGTGGGAAGTTATGTTTACCATGATTAACCCTGTCTGTACTGTGCTGGCAGAACTCATTATTGGTTGTAAACTAGATTTGAACACTGTCTGTCCTAACAAAGGGATTAAGATCTAGAAGCATTGTATGTTGAGAGGAAATGCAGCCTGTCCTCCTTTGTCTTGGGGAGAGACTCACTCACATACTGTTCAGTGTGGCTTGAAGTCTGGCCAAAAGCATGCTCCAAAGAAACTGCTAAAAGGTAATACATATTTTAAAAAACATATTTTTAGGTACGCTGTGTGAATGGGAACACTTAACACACATAGTTCTGAGAACAAACTCGATGCTCACTCACCAAGGTCAGTAACAGTGCCTCCTTTTACTGGGGCTGTTTCAGAATCTTTCTTGGTGTTGACTTGAAAACAAAATATAAAAAAAGAAATCAGCATTCCGGTCAGAAGTGAATTATAAAGCTTTGCGTTTTTTAAAATACAATTACCAGCTTTGGGCAGAGTTACTTCTTCTACATTAGGAACAGGCGAAGGTTCATCCATGTCCTTTGTCAGATCCTCTTGTTCCTCATCACGGTGGCCCCTCTTGGATTTAGTGTAAGGAGTTGAGGGTCTAGGTGTATGAATGTTATAAATGATAGGAACCATTACCATATGATCACAATTTTTTACATAGAGCAATGCATAGCTCAGAGCTGTGGAAAAATATCTACAGTATTGTAACATAGAAATCACAGATCTGTATACCCAAAACGTACACCATTAACATGAAAAAGGGACAACGTTATCAAACAAAGAGCTTGATAAACAACTTACATTCAACAATCCTATGACTAATTTATACACTGAGTGGCCAGATTATTATGACCACCTGACGTTTGTAGGCAAATTGGCTATAATTTTGCGCTGAAGTTCCTAGAAGGCCAGACCATTATAAATAGGGAAGCAGGTTGTTCACCACGACAGTAGAAGTGATTTTTTTCTGAAGATATGGGGATGAACGTGGGATGATTGTTGGCGCTCGGAGCCATGGTGCGAGTATCAGCAAAACAGCAGAATTCGTTAAATGTTCAAGAGCAGTGGTTGTTAAAGTGTTTAAAGACTGGACTGTCAGCGGAAAATCTGGGTCTGAACGTGCGAATTGTGGCCGTCAGCGACTAGTCAATGTTAGGGCAGAGCGGAGAGTGGCAAGACTGGTACAAGACAACAGAAGAGCAACAGTGCAGTGTCCGATTCCTCGCATCACTTTTCAACATCTCGTGGAGTCCCGAGGCGGCCCAACGAAGTCATCTCGTGGCCCAACGAAGTACTGATGGGGTGGTCATAATAATCTGGCCACTCAGTGTATATACATATACAGTTGTGCTCATAAGTTTACATACCCTGGCAGAATTTATGATTTCCTGGCCATTTTTTAGAGAATATGAATGATAACACGAAAACCTTTCAGTCACTCTTGGGTAGGGTTCGGCTGAAGCCATTTATTATCAATCAACTGTGTTTACTCTTTTCCAATCATAATGACAACAGAAACTACCCAAATGACCCTGATCAAAAGTTTACATACCCTGGTGATTTTGGCCTAATAACATGCGCACAGGTTGACACAAAGGGGTGTGAATGGCTATTAAAGGGAACCATCCTCACCTGTGATCTGTTTGCATGTAATCAGAGTGTGTGTGTGTGTGTGTGTGTGTGTGTATAAAAGGTCAATGAGTTTCTGGCCTCCTGACAGACCCTTGCATCCCTCATCCAGTGCTGCACTGACGTGCCTGGATTCTGAGTCATGGGGAAAGCAAAAGAATTGTCAAAGGACCTGCGGGAAAAGGTAGTTGAACTGTATAGAACAGAAAAGGGATATAAAAAGATATCCAAGGAATTGAGAATGCGAATCAGCAGTGTTCAAACTCTAATTAAGAAGTGGAACATGAGGGGTTCTGTTGAAACCAAACCACGGTCAGGTAGACCAACTAAACTCAGCCACAACTGCCAGGAAAATTGTTCAGGATGCAAAGAAAAACCCACAAATAACTTCAGGTGAAATACAGGACACTCTGAAAACATCTGGTGTGGCTGTTGCAAGATGCACAATAAGGAGGCACTTGAAGAAAGATGGGCTGCATGGTC